TGTTTGTTGATGAAAATAAAGGCAGAATAAAGAGAAGAGAGAATTGAACTGTTTCTGCAACCTGAAAGTTTCCATTGTTTCCCAGTGAAGACACTGTGGACTTTTTCTTTAGCTATTATTCATTTATTTCGAACTTCCTCTTATTTGCTCTTTGACCCAAATCCTGTTGGAAAGGGGAGGGACGCTGATAAAAGCAAAATCAGGAGGACTTCGGCCTCTAAGTCAAGTAATTAGTATACAAATTGTAGGTCATCTCTCTCTCTTCTTTAAGCTAAGGTTAAGTGTATAACCAAGTCCATGTATGCTTTTTTATCCTCCTTGAAAAGATGAATATTACATATACTCCCCATTGCCATTGACCCTGTTGTCTGAACCCTGGATCAAGCTCCTCCGAATTTCAGTACACACTCTCAGAATCGAGGTCACTCTCAACACCTAAATTTCCTTTTGGGGTCTCAAAACTAGAGGCCCTGAACTTTGAATCTCAAATTCTATGAACGCAACATCTGAGCCCTAAATATAAGATTTTCCTTAATTATGAAAGTCCATTATTATGCTGAGTGAAATAAGTCAGAGAAAGATAAATACCATATGATTTCACTTATATGCAGAATCTAAGGAACAAAAAATAACAAACTAATAAAAAACAGACTCACAAATACAGAGGACAATCTGATGATGACCAGAAGGGAGAGGGATTGAGGAGCTGGGAGAAGGGGTGAAAGGTTAAAGAAGTACAAATTAGTGGTTGATAGATGGTCACTGGGATGGGGAACACAGCCCAGGGAATGCAGTCAGTGTTAATGTAATGGCTAGGTGGAAAGCCAGAAGAGAGAAAGAGCAATCAGGGGGATCATTTTATAAACTATATAAATATCTAACCAATGTACTGTATACTTGAAACTAATAATAAGGAAGGAAGGAAGGAAGGAAGGAAGGAAGGAAGGAAGGAAGGAAGGAAGGAAGAAAGAAAAAGAAAAGAAAGAAAGACAGACAGACAAGCTGGAGCCTCCACAAGATGAAGCAGTTGTTTGGAGTGGTAGGTGAGAGTTTTGAAGAAAGGGTTGAAGCACCACATCATAAACAAAGATCTTTCAGAAGCCAAGAGTTCCAAAGTTAGGCATAAGTGGTAGGTAAAACAATGACCCCTCAAAGATGTTCACCTCCTAATCCCTAGAACCTCTAAGTACGTTACCTTATGAAGGCAAAAGTGACTTTGCAGATATGATTAAGGTAAGGATCTTGAGGTAGGGAGATGATCCCAAATCATCTGGGTAGTCCCAGTCTAATCACACAGACCCTTATAAGAGAAAGGCAAAAAAGCCAGTCAGAGGACGGGTGAAGATGGAAGCAGAGATCTGAGTGATGTGTTTACTAGCTGGAAGGGGGCCATGATTCAAGGAATGAGGACAGCCTCTAAGAAGCTGGAAGAGGCAAGGAAATCAGTCCTTCCCTAAAGCCTTGTGAAGGAAAGTTGCCTTGATGACATCTTGATTTTAGCCCATTGAGATCCTATTTCGTACTTCTGATCTCCATAACTGTAGGATAATTTATGTTGTTTTATATCATTAAGTTTATGATAATTTCTTACAGCAGCTAAAGGAAACTAATACATTGGAACACACTCACGAGAGGCACATATGCAATAGTTAAGGTGGTCTATAAAGTGAGTTTGTTTTTATTAGAATTCCTATTCAATGATCGGTCCATCTTCTGTTTTGGAAAACTCATGATAGACTGTCATGACATTTCATTATTTATAAAAGAGATCAACAATAAGTCAGTGTCCTAGTCCTGGAAATTCATCAATTTAAACAAATGTATACATATATTTATGTAACCATTCCACAACTGGGATGTTTGAGATTCTCATCACCCAAAAAAATACCGTGTCTGTTTGCAATCAATCTTCCTAGCCCCAGACCCAGGCAACCGCTGCTATTTCTGTCACTATAAATTACTTTGGACAGTTTTATAGTTTCATACAATGGAGTCACACAATGTTTTTGCTAAGTAAAATTGATCTACAAGATTCGATGTATCAGAGGGTCATTTCTTTTCATTTCTGGGTAGAATTCCATTATATGGGTCTTTGTTTACTCGTCACCCACTGATGGACTTTGGGTTATTTCCAATTTAGGGTTCTTATATATAAAGGTGACATAACATTTGTGTACAATTCTTTATGGAAACATATGTTTCTTTTTCCTTTCTTGGGTAAAATAACCTGAGAGTGGAATTGCTGGAACAAACATAAGTAAATATTTAACTTTTAAGAAAATGCTAAATTGTTGTATTAGTTTACAGTCTCACCAGGAGTATGTGAGTTCCAGCTTTCCAACATCTTCATCAACACTTGGTAATGTCAGCCTTTTTAGTCGCAGCCATTTTTGTGGTTGTGTGGTTGTGTTTAATTGTGATTTTTAATTGGCATTTTCCTGGTGATTAATGATGTGTGCTTATTAGTTATTTATATATCTTCTTTTCTGAAGTCTGAGTATTTTGCCCATTTTTTATTAGGTTGTCTGTCTCATTACTGAGTTGTAAGAGTTCTTTATACATTATGCATATGATTCTTTCGTAATATCTGTGTGTGTGTGTGTGTTTCTCAGTATCTGGTTTGCTTTTCATTTCTTCGATCGTGTCTTTTGAAGAACAGAAGTCCTCAATTTTAATGAAGCTTAATTTATCAATTTGATTTTTTTGAGGTTAATGTTTTTCAGATCTTGTCTATAAAATGTTTACTTACTCAAAAGACATAAAGATGTTTTAAATTAGATTTTAATCTGATTTTAAGTAAGAAATAAGCCCTGAGAAAAAAGTCCCTTCAAAGGAATTGAATATTACAAAAGAGTTCATATATACTCATAAACGAGTACATACGAGCAGGGTCATAACAAGGACAAAAAAAGAAAAATACCTGACTCAAGAGAAATGTGTTCTTCACAAGTTATAGGCAAAATATTTTATGTTTATGTGTATCACTTTCCAGGGGAAAGTATACATTTTATCAGGTTCTCAGTAGGACATATGATCCTCCTGATATGAGGAACCATATATGTTTTAATAAATTTTCTTTTCCCTCTTTTAATCAGCAGTAGGCAGAAAAGCAATACAATAAGCGATACAACTGTCAATAAATAAAATTTTCCACTTTAGTTCTTCTAACAAGAGAGGAAAGTGACCCCATACTTCCTGATATAACCCATAGGACCCTACTATATGTAGAGTGTTATATTTGAAGCTCATGTGAATTTTACATTTTACACCATAGTAACATGTATGTTTGTTTTAATATCAATATATTTTATATTAATTATAGAAATCAATTTCTACTTTTAACTCTTTAATGCCATGTCTGAAGTTTTTCTAAGGAGATAGGGCCAATGATCTATGAACAAAGAGCCATAACATTGTTCCACCATGAAAACTGCAAATAACACATTGTTCAAGGATAAACATTTTCTTAAGTAAAGTATATATATAAATAATCATATATAATACAGCCATTAAATTATGTAGATTTTGGTGATTTGAAAAAAAATTCCTATGATCATTAAGATTGTGTGTGTGTGTGTGTGTGTGTGTGAGAGAGAGAGAGATTCGGTACATCATTATTCACGATAGATTTTCCAGGAAGACAAATTATAAACATAAATGTACTGATATTTCAGATCCAATGGGTTGTAAATCAAATAGGTAGTTTTATTAAAACCTTTACCCCAAGAACACTCCTTCCATTCCTTCTCCTGACCGCCTACCCACATCCACATTCATCAACTACCATGTCTTCATAATGTCGTAGAATGACGTTGTCATCATTGTCTTGATAAAGCATGGAAATGGGGGATAGCTTGGTGGGAATGCAGACAGCCTGGGGAATTGCTGGGTCAACCACGTGCATCAGTGCTTGCATGAAAGCATAATTGGAGCTGTTGAGGGAGGTGGTCATTGAGAAAGGACAATCTCCATGGCAATAATTTGCCATGAACCCCTTAGGGGCAATGATCCACTTGTGCCAACCCAGGTCCCGGAAGTTGATGAATAGCTGGTGACGATGGCAGAGGTTCTTGCAAGAAGCATAAGGGGCAGGGATGGCTGCCCTCCTTTTGCGGGAAGAAGGGTGGCATTGCTCAGGATTGAGGGTCACCACCAGCAGGGAAGCATGAAGAGAACGTCTCAGTCTGGCACAGATGTCCTCAAGCTGAAAATTCACCCCAGCGTCTCTGTCTCCTTTGACCAGCATCTCTAGGAACAAACCTAAGTTCTTCTGGTGGTTATCATTCCAGTCCTTAGCTACATCCAACAGGTTGAAGTAAAGAACACCTTGAGGCCACGGTACTGACTGCAATACAAACATTTTACCTGGCTTAGGGATGAACCGGCCCCACACATGAGGCTCCTGAACCAGGGACAGAGCCAATTCCATTTCTGGTCCCAGGTTATAGTAAGTGTTGGGCCCCAAGTCCAGACCCAGCTGGGCCATTGTTAACTGCTTCTTATCTTTAATTGCAGACAGATTAAAGTAGAGGAGCTTCTGTAGGCAAGAGGAAGCTTCAGAAAAGTTCTCGGAGTAAAGAAAGAATCCTAGATGGGAACAGAGAGACACAAGCCTCACCGTAATATATTTTACTTCATATCCATATACATGATGTAAATGTCAAATGTTACAAGTATAGTCACATACACAAAATAAGGGCAGAAAATAATCAGTTATACTCAAACTCTACCATTTTAGAGGATTTATTTATTTATCTCACTCCTCATTTAAGGCCAAAGTTTCTCTTTTTTTTAACTTATTTGCTAATTATAGTTGACGTACAATATTATATTAGTCAACTGTATAACATAGTGACTAGACATTTATCTTAAGAAATGATCACCCTGATAAGTCTAATACCCATCTGGCATCATACATAGTTATTGCAATATTATTTACTATATTCTCTATACTGTACTTTACATCTTCATGACTAATTTTATTACTTCTTAATTCCCTTAAAAATATGAGATAGTTCACAAATTTGCATGTCATCCTCGCAAAAAGGCCATTCTAATCTTCTCTGTATCATTCTAATTTTTAGTATATGTGCTACCAAAATGAGCACAGACCAGAGGTTCTTATCTTTATATCCACAGGTCCCTAAGGTGTCCTGGACAGACTTTACAAGGTCCATGGTCACGGATGGGAAAAATAATTACATCTTTATTTTTAGTAAACTCTAAATTAAATTTAACATTTCCTTCAATTATGAGTATAGGCAACAAAGCCCAATAATATTATCGGGGCCTATGACACTGTTACTAGTAAAAATCACAGGTATGTTCATACAAGTTGTTAAGTTGTTGCAAATATATTAAAATAACACTTAGTCTCACACTACTTGAATTTATCATAGTTATAGTCCCTTCCCTGGGTCTTCTTATTTGTTACTTCAATAAAGCACCATATATGTTACCATATACACATTTGTTTTTAAAATATTTTTATAAATGTATTTCAATATTTAATTGATTTCTTTTGAAATTCTAAATATTTTATTCAAGGGTGTAAACCATTATTCTGAGAAGGGGTCCATCGGCTTCAAAGGGACAGATGGCACAAAAACATTTAAGAACATCTTAGGCTGTCAGGTGTTGCTGGCCAAAATGTAACTACTTCGATTGTCTTCAAAACAAACTCCTCTTAACCAGCCAAGACTAGCCCTCCAGAAATTCCTTATTTTTCATCCTTCGGTAATTCCTTACCTAAAGCCTGCTCTCATCAATGTCAACAATGTCTAATCCTGTATCTCTGAACATTTCATCCTCCACCTCACTGAATAGTGAGGTGCAATGTGACTCTTCGGTTTCTCCCAATGGACCCCCTTCTCTGTATCTCTTGAAGTGGTAGGTGTAGTCTCCCTATTTTCAAAGCCAGTTTCTCTACCTGGATTTTCAAGCCTCACCTACTCTTCTAGGAAAAGACCCAATAGAGTATATTTTCACCTTTTTTTTTTTTTTTAAACTTTCAATTTCTCCCTGTCCACAAATAATTTCTTTGGCCTGACACCATCATTATGATCGGTAGGATGGCTCCACCCTAAGAAGGGATTTCCTAAGGTCGTTCAGTTCATGGAGAAATTACAACAGAAACCCAAATCTTCTAACCAACTCACCACAATGCCTCTTCTCATTTTTTAAAATAACAAAATTAAAAGGCATTTAAAATTATCCAGTTTTCTCTTCAGTCCTCCTCTATTATCTCTCCCTTTCTTTTCACTGACCATCGATGGCTCCACCCTAAGAAGGGATTTCCTAAGGTCGTTCAGTTCGTGGAGAAATTACAAGAGAAACCCAAATCTTCTAACCAACTCACCACAATGCCTCTTCTCATTTTTTAAAATAACAAAATTAAAAGGCATTTAAAATTATCCAGTTTTCTCTTCAGTCCTACTCTATTATCTCTCCCCTTCTTTTCACTGACCATCTTTTAAAAAAAAAAAATTAGTCTGTGTTTGCTGTCCCTACTTCTTACCTCATACCCTTCTGTTATTTCTCAACCCTTTCACCCTTGCTACTCCACTGAAACAGCTTTCTTGGTTACCGTCAGATGCAGGGATGTTTTCACAGAACTTACCCTTCTCAACCTCTCTGAACAATTGATCTCTCCTGTTTGAGGTTCTAATTCTAATATATTGGTCTCCTTTTTCACTTATATCACTAAATCATGTTCCTTAGGCATGGGGGCGGCGGGGAAGCCATAATGGAAAAGATAGACAGATTTTAAAGCAAGGAAAAAAAAAACTTCTATATTCAAAAACCATTACTAACAAAATCAAAAACACAAAAAATAACTGACAATACTGGTAACATATCTGATGAGTTAAAACTCATGAATATAAAGAGCTTTTGAAATGATTAAGAGGCCTTACAAATCATTAAGAAAAAGAAGAATTCTCAATAGGAAAAGTGTCATAATGTATAAATAGGCAACTATTTGAAAAATAAAGATAAATGATTCGTTATTCATTTTAAAATGCATCATTCTGCCTTATTAAAAATTAAAATTAAAATAATGATATTTATTCTGCTATTAGATGAATAAAAATTAAAAGCAAAAAGTGGCGTTATCTTGTGGGCATCCAGTGTAGCATGGATAAGCACATTGTCGTATATTACTAGAATAAAATATACAGCAATGAGAATGAACTGCAAATATACACAGGTTTATCCTCACAAATATAATGTTGAATGAAAGAAGCCAGACACAAAAAAGGATACATTTCACATTTCCATTTATATGAAGTTCAAAAACAGGCAAAACTACTATGTAATGTTAGATATCAGGATAGAAGTTACCTGTGCAGGGGAATAGTGATTAACCAGAGGTGGCATGAAGGATCCTCTGGGGTGCTGGTCGTGTTGTCTCTTGATCTGAGTGCTGGATAGTCTGTGAAAATTTGTTGCGTTGTTCTCTATGATTTATTCACTTTTCTAGATGTATATTATACTTCAATAAGTTTCTATTTTAAAAAAGATTTTTGTCAATTGTATGTAAGAATTCTCATACAATTATGGTGGTGTAAAAATTTTGGAGGATGTTCGTTATTTATCAAAAGTATAAATGTGCCTACTCTTTGATACAGCAAGCCTCTTCTAAGAATTTATCCTAGGGAAACAGAAAAAGTGCACACACACACACACACACACACACACAAATGGATGTAAAGCTGCACTTTTTATGATATGTCCATGCCCATCAACAGGGCATCAGTTACATAAATTTTAGCATGTTTATATAATGAAATATCATGCAACCATTAAAACGAGGATAAGTTGACTATTCGTTCGGACTTGTAAGAGATGTCCATAACATTAAAGGAATGTATAGTATGATCCCATTAAAAAAAATGTTCCAAGTTTATATTATACGTATACAAATTTAAAGTCTGGAAGAAAATATATCAACTGTTCATAGTTGTTTTCTCCAGGGGGAAGTTTAGGGAGGAATGGTGGTGGGATTATGTTCTACCCCTCCCCCCCCCTCAAAATTTGTTAGGGTTATGATCATCACTAAAATCAAAGATTTTTCCATCAGGGAGGGAGAGAAGTAATCTCAGCTGTTTTCTACTCTCTCCAAGGAAAACTCTTCAAACTTTCTTTTCTTATCTCTTAACCTTCCTCCAGAAATTTTCCCTGAACTCCCACCCCCAAGGACCTGAGCCTCTAACATAATACTGAGCACAGAATAAATATGGAACTCATCTGTTTGTCTACTTCCCTTCTATAAACTCTTAAAGAGTAGATTTTATCTTTAATTTCTGTATTCTCATGGCCCTACACAGTTCCCGGGACACAATTGATATCAACTAAATGCTTTTCAGACAAATAAGTATTTAAATCTTAATCTCAAATTGCTTTAAAACTAACCAATCAGGGCTCTCAGTTCTGTCTCTGAACCACCTGGGAGGCTAATAGAAATGCAGATTACAACAACCACCTCTGACTTAAATAAAAATGGGATGGGAGAATGAAGGGTAGGAACTGGGCTGAAGAATCAGCTTTTTAACAACTGACTTGGGTAATTTTGGTGGGTTGTCAGTTTGGCAAAGTATTAAATGGCACTCACTTAGATCTTTATATAAAGGGTATGTATGACAATGGCATATATTATTGTTCAGTATCCGTAAACCAAGAGTAGCCTTTTCCATCTAATGAAGGTAAAGCTAGTCTCATGGGCAAACTAAGGTCAAAATTTTTGTCCCCTGCTTGCCATACCAAAGGCACTAGGATGCGTAAATTGTGCGCTAAAGAGTGGGAGACAGAGCCCCAATTCCACCTTCACCTCTCCTAAACTGCAGCACAAAGTTGTTGGTTCAGAAGAAAACCTATTTTGAATCCTGACTTTGTTCACACACTAGCTGTATAATCTTGAATAGGTTACAGGTTATCTACTACTGTCTGAGCCTTCCTCTCAGAATCGTTGTTGGGATTAAATGAGATAAAATATATAAAATACCAGCGCAAGTCCTGCTATCTATGAACCCCTCAGTAACTGTTACTGCCCTTTATTTCCTTTCTTCCAATGCCAGATTTTCCTCTAGAAAACACTCCAATATCCTTACCTTGATCTGGAAGAAGTCGAAGTACGTTCCCACGGACTCCCAGCTCCTTTACGTAGCATAAGTCTTGAGAGACCCCAGTGGTGGCTGCTGCCTCTTGATCCTGGAAAATTTTCTTCATGATATAAGGCACAGGTTGGAATTTCTGTGGAGAAGGAACCTTGTCCAAGCCCAGAAATTTGAGAAAGACATGTTCTCGAAATCGTAATGTCTGGCCCAAGGCCGCAGTTAGGAGGCTGAGAGCCAAGACTGGCAGGGAAGGAAGCATGGCCTCCGAGCTGAGACGGAGCTGGCTAGTCAGGCTGAAGAGAGCTCTAGCTCTCGACTCCTCCGCAATCCAAGTGCTGCTAATTTATCTGATGTAAGATAATCAAGTGTGAATTGCTCTCTTCCCAGCTCCTCAAAGGCAATTGGATGTGAAAAGACAAAACTTTTTTCTCTTTCCTAGCTCTACTGTTCCAGAAAAAAAAGTTCACAAAGCAAAGATAGCCAGTGCATGGACCTAACTCTACAACAACCTGAGCTTTGTCCACAGTACACAGAGTGGAAAGGAAACAGGCATTTATTCATCTCACAAACATTTATTAAGCATCTGTGAAGTGCAAGGTGCTGAGATAGGTGCTAGGAACATAGTAATAAGTAATCCAAGTCTTGTCATTCGTAATCTGATTAGACAAATGCAGAGGTAGAGTTCCATTAGACTATAACCTCAGCCATGTGGAAAACCACACCAGAGAGAAAGAACAAAAGAAAGTTTAATCTATACCCTTTGTCAGTTTTCAGCTCTAGAGGGACTGAATTTCTTTTCATCTAACTTTGCCCTTCCTGATTAAAAGTCAAAACTCAGACTGACTGAATTCATTCTTGTTTCATTCAATATTAGCTATGTAACATTGGGCATGACACCCAACCTACCCAAATTTTTGTCTTCTCAACAAGAAATAAAAACTAACCTTTTAATTTGCCATAGGAATCTGATAAGATGATGTGTTTAAAGTGCTCAG